TGGTGAGTAAATAGAATTAATGAGAAGAAGCAAATACACAAGTCCAGGAACAAAGGTGCAGAACAACAACAAAACGAACTGAAACAAAACAACAAAACAACAGAAAACACAGCAGCACAAGAAGTGCTCTCAAAACCAAAAGACCCGAAACCCAGACAACAAAAACAAGGAAACTAAGTCCACTGAAAGACCCTTGTTTCCCAGCAGAACAACACTGACAATACCAAAGAACAAAAAAACTAGAAACAAATCCTACAAGAGCAGAAACAGGCAACAATAGAGCAAACCAGCTCAAAGCAAAAGGAGAGCAAACACTGCTACTCTAGGAGCTCCTACCGCTGCCATCGAGCAATCCTCCCCAGGAGCCACAAAACAAAGTTTAAAAACTCCCAAGGAGTTGCCATCCAAGCCAACCGACCCCCTACTCTTTATTGACTTTACCATGGGCAACCATCCATTCCTCCGTTGATATCAACGCCTTAATGAACACGATCATGGCATTCCTTCTAATGTCTTGAAATACCCACATGTTCCTCTCCAACCGGCAACCAGACCTGCCAACAAACTGAATGCAAAATGCCGAAAGCCATCCAATCGCTTAGATTATCTGGAAACTCAAAATTCCATCTTCTAATGGTATCCAAAATGTCTCCCTGGGGCTGATCCAGATTGCAGCAGACCTTCTTGACTTCTCTCCACACCTCTTTTCCAAAGTTGCAATCAATGAAAAGGTGATTAACCGTCTCCTCGTCTCTGAAGAATAGGATGCATCTATTTGCCAATGGCCAACCCCTTCTCTTCAAGTTGTCTAAATTAATAATCCGCTTATGAGCCACAGTCCACATGAAAGCATTCACCTTGGAAGGAATAAACCTCCGCCAAACAAAATCACTAGGTAAGTCTTCCAATCTTGGGAAGCGACCTTCCATAAGAAACCTGTACATGGAACGAAAAGAAAATGTCGAGCTGGGATCGGGGGACCAAACCAATCTCTTTGGTCCACATGCCACTCGATGAATGTCAAAAGATTCTAATAAATTCGAGAAACCGAATCTCACCAATTCAACCCCCCTCTCAATTGAACATTCAAATCAACACTCCACACCAAATTCTGAACTGATTGAATGATGTTGTCCGAGATCCAAGCCTCGGGCGAAGCTGCGGCAGCTGTGACACGCGAGAAAGAATGAGTGAGAATTATATTTGGGATCCATCACTCGTTCCAAAAAGAAACCCCATCACCCCCCGGTCAATGAAAGCCACCTTTCAAAAAACTTCATAAGATTTAGTAATATTAGCCCAAGTCGGGCCTCTGAAATCTCTCCTACACCTCCTTCTTTGCCACTCCGATTTACCAGCTTGATATTTGATGGCGATCAACTCCCTCCACCAGCACCCTCTCTCCATAGCGAATTTCCACAACCATTTGGCCAACAAAGATTTATTGAAACAACACATATCTCTAACTCTAATGCCCAGCCCCCATTCTTCTTGCTCGCTTAGCACATATCCCAACTGAGCACAGGGGTTTTGTAATTGTCCCCAGCGCCAATTTATATGAAACTTCATTGAATTTTATCCATATTATCCAGAACCGTAGCAGGTGCACAAAGGAGGGGGAAAATACGCGGGATATCTGGAAAGAGTGGAGCTATTGAGAACCAGCCTGCCACCAAAGGAGAGATACCAAGCTTTCCATCCCTCCAACCTAGATTCTATCTTTCTAATAACAAGGTCCCAAGTGGATACCGCGCCCACTTGTGCTGCAAGGGGAAACCCAAGATATTTAGAGGGATCCCTGCTCCAATTGCATCCAAAGATAGCAACATAGAAATCCGGGATCAGAACGTCCCCCACTGTGATCATAATCGACTTCTCCAAGTTAATGCTCAAACCTGTGACAGCTTGAAAACAGACTAAATTTTCCATGCCATTCAGAACCCGATCAACAGAAGGTTCACTGAAAATAAGAGTGTCGTCGGCAAACAAAAGATGAGTAACCTCTCCTCTACGATTCTCTTCATCCATACAAAACCCTAAAATCCTACCATCGGCTTGCAAATTATTGAGCGTATATGAAAGAAGGTCCATGAAAAGTGTTAACAAACCGGGAAAAAGCGAATCGCCTTGACGTAATCCTTTTTGCGGCTTAAAGAAGCCTTTTGCTTCGCCATTAATGAGTGTGTAGACAACCGGAAAACACATCGTTCCTCTAATGCAACTCTGCCACTGATGCGGGAACCCGGGAGAAGACAGAACACTGAACAAGCACTCCCAGCTTACGTTGTCGGACACCTTCTCTATGTCAAGTTTTAACAAGAGACCAGGCTTGAGACTCCTCTTACGACTATCCAGCAACTCAAATGCAATAAGGCCAACCTCCGAGATCTGTCTCCCTTTGACAGAGGCATGTTGGTTTTGCGATACCAACTTTGGAAGCACCTTGCTGAGCCTTTGGGCGAGAATCTTGCTAATAATCTTATTCAAGCTGCCCATCAAACTAATAGGGCGCAAGTCTTTAATATCATCAACCGAATCTCTCTTTGGCAGCAGACACAAAAAAGAGTGGGTTGCGCACTCGGGAAGGAAGCCAAATGAGTGGAAATCATTAATGACGTTGATGAACCCTTCCTAGATCAAAGTCCACCCCTTTTATAGAATTCCCATGTGAACCCATCAGAGCCGGGGGCTTTCCCCCATCGATGACAGTTAGTAGGCCAACCAAAGTAATTCCTAAACTGTAAATTTTTTTAGGATCGTGTTTTCGCTAGGCTCACTTTTCTCTCTTGGAACCAATAATTAACATCCAGAAAATGAAGGTTTTGAGTTCAAAAAAACTTTTGGATTTATGATCTATTTGTTGCATTATGGATTTGGAAGAGTAAATTGTTTGTTAAGTTGTTTTTTTATCATGAATTTATGATGAATATGTATAACATTTTTGTCTTCCATTATCAAATCCCAAATGAAATATGGTATTTGGAAATCCGTGAAATACACGAATTTGGTTATAAAAAGTGTTCAAATCTGTGGGCTCCATGAATTTGTGTCCCTCAACAAACTATAAATGTATGTAAATTCCATAATACTTGAGATTTGACTTTCAAATCCATCACTCAAACTTGACGTATATAAACTCAAATCTCCTAATTTTCTTTGTATCTTACTCATGTCTTTATATATTTTTGAAAAGGACAACGTTCATTTATTCAATATTAACTAAAGCAAACCGGGAATTACACGTGAGGTGAGGCCCCTGTTGTTCCAATACACTCTCATCCCACTAGATTAGTTCAGGCATTTAGCCCAAAAAGACCAAAGGCCCGCATTGTTTCTATGACAGTGGCAGATATAGAAAGGCCACCCGACCATGCCCCAACCCTTTTTTGGATTCGGAGTTAGTATAGACCTTATGATTTTATTGATTTTAGTCATTCGGCCTAATGTTATTTTATAATAAGATTCTGTGTAATTGTGAAAATAGGTTAGATGAATATATTCAAATCACAACTCTAAATTTGACCTAGAAATTCTAGCTCCAATGATTCTCTTCTAAATAAAAACAAACAATGTAACCTAAAATTCTAAAAATCTAAAACGTAAAAGAATAAAAGAACTATGAGGTTTGTTCTCTTCAAAAATTACTAGAGTAGCTGGTGGAAATTGGGATGAACACACAATACAAATTAATAGTCAATTGATTTGTCTAGTGTTGACATTGCCCGTTTGAATAGCTACCATGGATAATACCTTTTCAACAATGGAACATGTGAAATATGATTTGCGCAACAAAATGAGCGATGAATTTCTCGCTAATTGGTTAACTATTTTATTTGAAAGAGAATAGTATGCTATTTGGTAATGATGTAGACTCCATTATTGATAAGTTTGCTATATTAAAAGATCGACGTATATAATTGATATTGTAAAAAAAGTATGATTTTTTTTTGTGATATATAATTTTCTAATAAAATGCAACGCAATGTTCTACTATGTCATGGATCCGCTGTTGTTGTATGCTTATAATTACCTTACATATATTTGCTAGAAGGCTAAAGGAACGATGATGGGCCTATATGGTGAACAAATCAGAATATATACGATAGTGTGACGATGAAATGACAGAGTATTACTTGTTCATAATCTCGAAATGGTCTACGATCCGTCCCTTGACTGCACAATGAAAATACAATAACCTCACCAAAAACAACCTGCACGTTTGTGATCTATTCATTTGACCCAATTCATCTCCCAACAATTTGGTAATAGGAAAAGGACCATGGGCTCCACCGCAGACCCATCAGTCAATTCTTTATATGTTTTCTCTCCCTCCAATAAAATCTATGTCACTATATCTTCTTGGATAATGATTCCCTGAAACCCAATTTAATTATGACTTGTGTTCTTGACATAGTCTCATGACTCGCTATGACACAACTCCTAACAATGGCCAAGTGTAACCAATGAAAGGGACTGCAGTATAGTGGCTCAAGTAATAAATATCGAATACACGGGTCTCTAGAGTTACTATTACTCAGCTTCAATTCATTATCTAGCAAACCAGATTAAGATGGAAGAACTAAAACTACTATAGCAAACTACAGTTACAGTTAATCTAATTACAGGTTGGGAACTCACTTAGGTATGATTCCCCCTAGCCACTAGCCAGATTAAGGATTGATGATTTCTAACTTGTTTCACTTACATTCACAATTCGGAGAATCCTTGACTAGACCTTGAATCTCAACTAAAGGATCAAGGCCATCTTGAGTCGATTGCCTAGAGGGATGTATCCTTCCCTACAACAACCGTTCAAGGCGTTCTGAACTAGATTCCCTCTATCGAATGAGGTTCTCAATCGATACAAAGCATTGAATCGACCCTCGACTAAAGCGATCGATCCAATACTATCAATCTATGGTGCTCTATTGACCTAATCAGGTATTCGCTCTCATAGGATTAAAGCAAAATCAATAATCTCGACTAAAGCCGAATTGAATCGTGAAAACATGCATATATTGAATATGAACTCAAGATTATCAAGTAAGAGTACTCATACAATCATCCAATCAAACAAACATGGCTAGGGTTCCTCAAAACCTAAGTGAAGGGAAGTTACTTCATAGAGAAGAGAGAGACTACAGTAAGAATCTTCAGATGATCAGTCTTCAAGTCCGGGCTTGTTCCTCGAGCTTCCAAGGTGAAGAAATCCACCAATTCAACCCCCAGAATTCCCTCAAATCGCCCTCTCTCTCTTTGGTTCGTCCCTTGGGTGTTTGGGATCAGAAACCCAGCTCTCTCTTTTGCAGAAACTCACAAAACATGCTTTAAAAAGCCTGCGTTCGCGATCACCGATCAGAATACCCGGTCGGGTATTTTAGGTGGTGACCGGGGATTATTGAAACGCACCGTCGGGGACAGGGGGTTAATCCCCGGTCAGGGTCAAGAATACCCGAACGGGGATTTATGATTAATTCCAACTACAGTCTTTTGAACGGTTGACCCTTATTAGTCGAACAAGAGAAATTTATGTACATCTGGCGCTCGCTAGAGTACTTCTTTTAACTCCTTTTCCTCAACTCGTGTGGAGGGTCAATGAAATTAAGTGGGGTCGAAAGATCTATCTGTGCCCTTAAAAACACATCCTCAAGTAGGCAAACCTTTCAACGGGTGGAAGTTTTACTTGTACTAGAGACAGCTTAGCTTCACCTTGTAGGAGTACCCCACTAAGGATCACAAAAATCTCCTCCAAAACCCGATTTTGTGCAATGAACGGTGCCGCACACGTTGGGCTTACCCCATGTTTAAGATTTCGATGATTTCGACATGGAGATTGGAGGACCAACTCCTTTTCATTTCCCACATGAGCACCCTATTCGATACACGAGTCCATAACACAATCCAAACAGAGTCACCATTACCACATGAATTCAACGGTCTTAGCTCCACTAATTTACAAAATCAACTGTCACAACAGAGAGCTGGATAGGGAAAATCTTATACTTCAACATCCTCCATAGTGCTACACTACCTCCCTAAGTTGCACATTACTATAGAGGATGTCAATTCAAAGCATACTGAGCAGGCAATTTGCAAGGAAACACGTACTTGGAGCACTCAAATTTAAAAATTTGGACAGTGGACTAGGCTCCAAGCACACAAACAACCAAACATTCACCCGCATACATAATCGAACATCCCTCCACACTTAAGCACGGCATTGTCCTCAATGGAGGAAAGATAAGGAGGGTAGAACGAAGTTACCAAATCAAGGGTGAATGATGGTGGACGAGGCAGGCGGTGCATTCCTGGAGGAGAGAGTAGTCGAAACACAAACACCACACAAAATCTCACAAAAGTTGAGTTATTGACTCTAAAATCCAAGAACAAAACTGACTCAACCGAGGAGGAAAGGAGAAAGAAATGAAACCGACTGGTTGGGTTGCCTCCCAACAAGCCCTTCTTTCACGTCGTGAGCCGGACGAAGGCTCCTAAGTTTTGGTCCACCCCAAAAACTCCTTAAAATTGAGGTTCTCGTCGATGAGGTGGAGTCTCAAGCCACGAGCATGTGGTATGACAGGTGATGGAAGCTCGTGCACTTGATGCAGATGAAGTCTCCACCCTCGAGACCTCTTCTTCTCTTCTTTCGTCTCATTGCCCCAAACTAGATATGACAGCAACGATTGACCACCATCGCATCCACCAAGAGGAACCAATGTCGATGTGGGCTTGGTCTGGCCAAGAGACACTGCAAATGGGTCCTTGCTAAGTAGTTCCTCGAAGTTTGGTGGACATATCACATGTAACTCATGGTCGGTGCAAGCCTCTTCCACCTCAACTTCGTCCTCGGCCTGGACGCCAATTGCTTCTTCAACCCCCTTCCTTCTTCATGTGGTATCACCCCTGGGAAATGATCAAGAACTTCTTCTGCTTCACTTTCATCATCCTCCACAACTTCTTTCTGCACCCTTTCTGGCTCTTCTTCTTCCAGCACGGATTGGAGACCAAGTTGCCAAGCAATTTCTTTCATGAGATCTTCTTGCATCTCCTCACTCATGCCCGCCTCTTCAAAGCTCAGTGTGGAATGTGGAAAGGTGTGGTCGGCTACGACAGGACATTCATGATTATGATCATCACGGGAGCTCTCTATGACAACTTCTGTGTGCTTCACCATGTCCTTGTAGCCTTCTTCTTCTTCCTCCTCTTCTAGTATGGTAGCAGACGGGTGATCTGGAGCAGGTTGTGCATAATCGCTCAAGATCATTGACGCTCTTCTTAATGCTCAGGAGAATCTCCTCTGTTTCACGATAGGCTTGGGTACAAAGATCCATCCTGGACCATGATCTCTCACTGTCTCGAGCAAACTGCTCCATGAGAAGCCTCAATTCATAGTTTGGATCTGGCTGTGGAGTGTAGCATGGCTCTGCAGAATGGCCGTGAAGGCCGCCATGGTTGACTCCAGCTCCGGTGGCCCTTTTGGTTGTGGGAGAAAGTCTTCTTGGTAATGAGGTTGTTCTTGATATGCCTAGGGGTCTGATTGTTCTCCGTAGTAAGGGGGTTGGTACTTGAACCCGAATCCATAGTCTTCTCCTCCTTGATTGCTCCAGGGAGTCTCGGGGTAATACCACTCGGATATTGGTGGATACCCCCAATGGTTTGAGAAGCCATGAGGATCCATGATTCAGATCTGCACCAAGTAAAACAAAAACACCCAAGTGAAAAGCAAGGGTGGAAAAGAAAAAAAAACGCTAAAGTAACAAACTTCTGCCTTTCCTAATACTCTAGAAAGTCCCCGGCAAAGGCGCCAAAAACTTGACTCGCTATGACACAACTCCTAACAATGGCCAAGTGTAACCAATGAAAGGGACTGCAGTATAGTGGCTCAAGTAATAAATATCGAATCCACGGGTCTGTAGAGTTACTAATACTCAGCTTCAATTCATTATCGAGCAAACCAGATTAAGATGGAAGAACTAAAACTACTCTAGCAAACTACAGTTAAAGTTAATGTAATTACAGGTTGGGTACTCACTTAGGTATGATTCCCCCTAGCTACTAGCCAGATTAATGATTGATGATTTCTAACTTGTTTCACTTTCATCCACAATGTAGAGAATCCTTGACTAGACCTTGAATCTCGACTAAAGGATCAAGGCCCTCTTGAGTTGATTGCCTAGAGGGACGTATCCTTTTCTAGAACAACCATTCAAGGCGTTCTGAACTAGATTCCCTCTATTGAATGAGGTTCTCAATCGATACAAAGCATTGAATCGACCCTCAACTAAAGCAATCAATCCAATACTATCAATCTAAGGTGCTATATTGACCTAATCAGGTATTCGCTCTCATAGGATCAAAGCAGAATCAATAATCTCGACTAAAGCATAATTGAATCGTGAAAACATGCATAGATTGAATATGAACTCAAGATTATCAAGTAAGAGTACTCATACAATCATCCAATCTAACAAACATGGCTAGGGTTCCTCAAAACCTAAGTGAAGGGAAGTTACTCCATAGAGAAGAGAGAGACTGCAGTAAGAATCTTTAGATGATCAGTCTTCAAGTCCGGGCTTGTTCCTCGAGCTTCCAAGGCGAAGAAATCCACCAATTCCACTCCAAGAATTCCCTCAAATCGCCTCTCTCTCTTTGGTTCGTCCCTTGGGTGTTTGGGATCCAAAACCCAGCTCTCTCTTTTGCAGAAACGCACAAAACAGGCTTTTAACAGCCTGCGTTCACGATCCTCGGTCAGAATACCCGGTCGGGTATTGTAGGTGGCGACCAGGAATTGTTGAAACGCACCGTCGGGGACAGGGGGTTAATTCCCGGTCAGGGTCAAGAATACCCGACCGGGGATTTATGATTAATGCCCGGGCCCCCTTCTGCTTCTCAAACGCCCAGAAGAGGTTTTCCCTGGTCTGCTCCAATTAATACCTGGCTAGGTATTTCTGCCCATGGCCGGGTATTTTGCTCCTCCAGCGCACTTCAACCCAAACATGCTCCTTTCGACCCAAAACTCGTTTCTTCGCCTCGATGCCAACGCTAAGCCCTGAAATATGACATAAACACACAACCTAGCGTGCAATCGGCTTAAATCACGAGAATCAACATCTCAAACGGCTCAAGAATAGGGGTAAAAACATGTGCAATTAATGGTCTATCATCTCATCACAAGGAACTAACACTTCTAACAAAAGCAAGTGAGGTAATGAAATGATAGTAGTATAGTGGCTTCAAACTATAAATTACCATATTCCTCGAGTGTCTAGGTTTATTAGTACTCAAATTCAGTTTATTATCTACCCAATTTTGTTCTGGTTCAATTACTTCTCACGACTATAAATACTCCAATAAAAATGAAATGATTAAACTGATTGCGTTTCAAAGTGAGAAGGCTCGCTCAGGTAATGATTTCTCCTAGCCACTAGACGGAGTAAGATCAATGGTACTCTAACTTTTGCAATCCGTGTTCCTAAGCCATTTGCAATTCGTGTTCCTAAGCCAGTCTTAAATCTCGATTAAAGCATTCAAGGCCCTCTTAAGTGGATTGCGTAAAGGGACTCTATGCTCAACTAGGTTAACCAAACAAGGCAATTTGATGTAGACTCCCCCTCTAATGGATTCACACGCAATACAAAGTAGTTGGTAGATTCACTTTCGCACAAACAACCCCTACTTCCAATCAACGATTGCAATAATCAACATTATCACATATTCTCTCTCCTAGGCCAAAGTAAAAAATCATCAATACTTCTTTTTTTGTGGTTAAAAGTCAATACTTCATCAAGGCAAAGATAATTCATGAATAATGCATCGATTGAATATGAACTCGGAATTTAACAAGTGGAGTACTCATACAATCATCATTCAATAAAACATTGCTAGGGTTTCTCATACCCAATAGAAAGGGGAAATTTACTCCATGAAAAGAAAAGAAATAACTAAAGTGAAAGGAATTAACTTCATGTTGACTTAATTCTTGTTCTGATCTTCTATTTTCTCTTATAGGCTTCTTCCTTGAGCTCCAAAGGGGGAAATCTTTGAATTTCACTGCCAATACTCCAAGGGTCGACTTCTCTCTCTAGGATTCATCCCTTGGGTATTTTTGGTCCAAAACTCAGCTCTCCCTTGGAAAAATCGAAAAAAATCTATTTATATTCGAGCGGAGGCAAAAGTCACGCCCTGGAGTTTATGGCCCTTAACTTTCCAAAACGCAACACAATGGATAACTAATTCGGAGGACAAGTCATGACTTAGAGGGGGTAACATCAAGACTGTTATTTCCAAGAAGTTGGCTATAAATATCATAGAATTGGATGTGTTTCCCATAAGAGTTTTTGGACGTGTTTAATGGTATGAATTCAGTATCCACGGCCGTGAATTTCTTGCTCATGGCTGTGACTTTTTACTTTGGTTCTTTTTGGCCTTCATATACCCCGAAACACGTTCTTAAGCCTTCAACACGTGCTAGGATATGAAATATATAAATGAGCCTAGTGAAAATTTTGATAAGGAGAAAGCATTTTTGAGGTAAATGGTCAAGAAACGATGAAGTATCGAGGCGCAAATATGTAGAATGCATCAAACTTCCCACACATAACCGTTTACTTATCCAAAAGAAAACAAAGTAAAGCCCAAGGTTGTCAAAGACATTCAATTGAAAAACTACCTCGAACAATGTCATAGGTGAACAACAAGTTGAATCACAAAAGGCCATTAATCTCGCTTATGAAGTAACATGAGAATGATACTAACAACCAACATAAACGACATTCAAGAAGCAATTTTATGACATTGGAAACATCTTATCATACTCACATAATTTTTGGAGAATATGAATAGTCGCTTGGTACCTCAAATTATCCAAACAAAGGGACTAGGTTACAAAGTAGGAGAAGTCGAGTAAAGTAAGTCCTCATCGGAATTTAGAACATATGGAAATAATGACTCATCACTCGAGGAGTAGGGTTAGGATCATACCACAATTTTTTTTTTAAAAAAGAGGCACCAAATAGGTGGCTTCAGCACCATTTACTGGCATAAATAGGCGGTCATGATGCTAATCTGGACAGGAGCGTGTCGAGACACATGCAGAAGTTGTCTGACCTTCAGCATATGAGCCCAACACAAGCTAGAGGCAAGATAAAAAAGCATAAATTTAAGAGCCTTGCCCAAGGGCATGGGTATAGGAGTGGTTACTTTGGATTCTTATGAATCCAAGTCACCACCTTCGCATAAGAAGAGAGGTTCTAGGAGCTGGGAACTTACTACCCTTTGTCTTAACACCCTCTGTTGATCAATGTTCAGAAGAAGAAAATAACTAGTTTCCTTCTGAACCTCAAACTCTAAGAGGCATTGCTAAACGAAATCTCTACGAATACAAGAGGATTCAAGCTGTGAACATAGCTTTCAGGATCACCTTGCCTCCAACTATTGTGCCAAATTTCAGGCTAAGAACTTCAACGATTCATATCGCAGAATGTTAAACGCTTTGAAGGTCAATAATAAGGTCAAGCATATTAAAGCATTTCTGGATATATGTGATTTTGACAGTATCTAGGTGTAGAGCCAGGCACAATATGGCTACGCCTTTTCCTTTCTCCATCAAAGGGAAACCAAGAGCTAGCTAAATCACCAACCACTAGGAAATTTTCGAACGTGGGAGGAACTGGTTCAAGCCTTCATAAAAAAAATTCTTCCCTCTATGAAGAACTGACAATCTAAGTGAGCAGATTGCTTGCTTCTAGCAATGCGCTTGATACGAGCTCAGTTTTACATGTTTCACCCCTCATAGCTTGATTTTTTTCTTAGCATTTATCTTTAAAATGCCCTATCATTTGCCAATTATATGGTAGGTTGTATTATTTTCCCATACTTTAGGTCTTGAGTGTGGTGAAGATTTGAGAGAAAGTTTCAAGGCATTTGGAGGAAAAAAATGATAAAAAAAAGGCACAAAATGATTCTCATGACTATGGCAATAAAATCATGGTAATGAGAATCAATCTCAACCCGTGCAACCATTCTCAGACGTTCTACCCAAAGTCACGGGCTAACAGGGGGAAACACGGGGGTGCTTCTGCCAGTGCTTTTTCTGCGACGACCATAAGTGAGACGATGCATATTGATGATGCATGTGTTGAAAATAGAAAAGAACGATCGTGATTTATGGTTGTGATTTCGTCGCTATCGTGTTTGAAAGATATTTTTGGCTATTTCTGGAGAGGAGAACTGGGTTTTGTATCCAAGACACTCAAGGGAGTAATCCTAGAAGGGAGAGCGATCTAGTGGCAATCTTGGAGAAAATTTAGAGGATTTCTTCTCCATTAAAGATCGAGAAACGAGCCTGGATGTGAAGATTGAAGATCTATAGGTAATTATTGTATTATCTCTCTTCTCTAGGTAGTAACTTCCCATCACTTGGAATTTGAGGACCCTAGCCATGTTTTGTTTGATTGGATGATTGTATGAGTACTCTTTCTTGTTAATCTTGGGTTCATATTCAATCTA